CCCCTCCCACATCTCCCGCCCCCATACCCCTCCCAGCCCCTTAAAGTGATGAGCCTTTAATCCTGCACATTTTATAAGCTTTCTGTTTTATCGGATGACCTGTTTAAAATAGACATTACTTTGTGTTTGTACGTTGTTTCTCATCTAAACACTGCTACACACACCTTACAATACGTGAAAATTTACAAGTTGGATGAGTTGAAAACACCCCTTACAGTAAAAAGGGGGCGGGGAGATAGTTACTGAAGTACATTTTTCACAGAAGGGATCTTGTCTCATGTTTTCAACAAAGTTCTAAGGTTAGAAAAGATATTAACCATAGTGGAGTTAGCAAAAGAAACTTGTTCAGAACTTGGTATATGATAATTAATACTTATATGTAATTTGATTAGGCACATAATTGGATTTAACAATCACATCTCTTCTTTGAATCTCTCCAGTTGTGTAATTCAAACTGAACTTGCTCTTTGGAGCAGTCATTTTGAAAGGAAACATTGGGATATGGTACTTGAGATGTTTTAGTATTAATGTCAATGTAGATAAGAAATGTTCTCTACTTGTGTGCTTGCGTTATAGTGGCCATATGTGAGGCGTGCTCATTGACAACTAGCCAATCAGATTTCTTGGGCAGTACTGCTGCAAAGATGAAGATATATCAAGCTTATCATAGCTTCGTATTGCATGGCCAGACTGGTGTTCTCCAATCTGGATATACTTCTCAGTGCCGTGCAGAGAACCTGCCTCATGTGCTGTTTTGGTGTTCTGCCTGGGAGTGGAAGGCCTGAGGTTCAAATGCCACTGCCCCCAGATGAGCAGACTTGGGGTAGGAGCACTCTAGTGGAGCGCTGAGCTCTTAGACAGTGTTAGTTAGTCAGAGGGAAACAGGTTTCCAGAATATGCAGTCAGATGTAGAGACTGCCCCAGAATGGGATCAGTTTTTTAATCTACAAAAATACTTGCGTTTTTGCACAGTATATAAGCATTAAGCAAAGTCAGACATTTGTTGAGGTAAACATGAATATTGACTTCAGTGTTCTGGTCAGTTATGTCACTGAAAATGCTTAAGTGCTTTTAACACACTAAAAACAATACATATATGGGAGAAAACCTTGCACTTTATGAGCATTCCTTGCACACAAAGCTAAATTAAACCTGGGCCACTCTTTACTGGCGGGAGTCAGGTAAATACGCTATTACAAAGGAAAAGCGTTTCTTCCACTTTGCTTTAACATTTGCTGGATGCAAAAAGAATGCTGGCTCTCTTAAATCGTGAGAGCTTCCCTTTGAAGTATTTGATTTGTCTTGTTTTCTGGAATCCTCTTGTTTCCTTGTTTTTTTAGAGAGACCTTGCCTGGGACCCCAGCTGAAATGAAGTCTCCCTGGCATAGATTCTGTTGTATCTCATAGTTTATAATTACCTAACTACTTATACAAATGTGTGTTTAATGCCTGTGAGTTCCAGAGAGAGCAGTGGCTGTGTCTCTTTCTGCTGCTGCTGTGTGACTTGAGCCTCTCTCATAGCTGTCTGACAAATACCAGGTGTTCTGTAAGTATCCAGCCTCTAATTAGAGACTTGGTTAAGGTTGGAACATACTGTCTTGTGATGAATTGACTGAGGGAAGGAAGGTTGATCAGCTTGTGACATTCCCATGAGGTATCACTCAGCCAAGTCGCCTAACCTCTGAGGTCTTTCTTTTCCCTTTCCTAAAAGATCAGGCACACTGAGCTCAAAATCCCTTTAATAGCCTATCTTTTGATTCCATTCACTGATGGCAGAATTTGTAAGTTCATTTGAATGAGGTATGTGACCGCTCTCTAAAAGAATGTTTGCAGAATGCCAACTAAACTGTTATAAATTCTTCACAACTAGACAATACTCTTCTGGTTTAGAGGCTCTCATAGCTATTAGAAACAACATCTAATTAATACCGTTTACAAATTAACATGATGTTCTCTTTGTTAACTTTCAAACCCTATTTTCTATTTGAAACAAATACAAAAAAATTAAATAGCATGACCAAAGTTCATGTAAATTAGAATTGTTAGATTTCTTACAGATCAACTCAAGATTCCATAAACAAAACAAGAAGAGGGAAAACAGATGGGATGTGTGGGTGGAAGCTGTTAAGACAGGTTCTTATATTTGTATCCACGCCAAAACTTTACAAAAAAAATCACTTTTATACAAAATTATATATAGTTTATTAGGAATTCATGTCAGTCTCATAAATTAGTCAAGTGTGTTATTAGACTGTTACTGTTAAGTAGTTAATATCAAGTGGTCTAATAAAATGTAAATTAATAGGATGATAACTTATCTAATTGCTATGAAACTTCTCAATGGTTCTAGTACTTACCAAGCCAGGTGCTGTCAGTAGTTCACGTGGAGGTGCCAGTCCCTGTGGCCCCATGCCAGCCAATGGTGCTGTCGTTTTCCTTGTACTCCTCTGCAGTCATTCTGAATAAATCCAGTTCTCCCTCAACACTTCCTCAAATATCTGAGGACCACTCTTTATCACATGACATTGTCTTCACCATCACCTGAATTATGCAATCTTTTCTTCCCAAACCTAAAAACCTGTTAACTCTAAACATGGATTACAGAATAAACATAATAGTAATGACGAGCTAACAGGTGTGCAGATTAATGCTCATGACTTCCCAGTGCCCAGAGGACTTAGGTTTGCAGTAGTTCTTTTGGTCAGCCAAAAATTAGTTCTATTAACAGCTTATCTGAAGCCTTGGAAACATAGCCCACTCTCAACTTAGCCCACTCTCATGAATGGCTTCTAAACCAGCATTTCTCCATCCTTACAGTGCACATTTAACTTTGAATTTATTTCTGTTAAATTTTACTTGAATTTTCTTCTATTTGCTCAGTCTTGTTCAACTTTGAGGATTATATAAGCAGATGTCTTTGTCTTTACCATCTCAAATCTAATGAAAACATAGGACTAGGAGTGATTTGGGGTCATTTCCCCAAAGGCTTTGTTGACATAGAGCCACTTTCCCTACTGCACTGACACCCAACTCAAACTCACACAGCATATTTATGAAGACAGTGGGGAGAACGTTTTAAATACTACTTTCGTGAGAGTGTAGTCGTCCTGAGCAAGTATTTAGCTTCTGAACTTTTGCTTTCTCAATTTTAAAATGGGTGGTTGTGAGGATTAAGGAGGTAATAGAGGTGTCTAGACCAGTGTCTGTCAGATGGTAAGAGCTCAGTGAAGATTAATGCTTACCTCTTCCACTTGAGGATCTAGTGTCATCTGTATTAGTGTGATAGGCTGATATGTAATCATTACAGTATTCTCTGGTTATTCGCAAATCACTTGAATAACAGTCTCGGATCTGGCTAGAGGTTTTATCTTTTTTTAAAAAAAATGATTTTTTTTATTTTATGTGCCTTGGTGTTTTTGCCTGCATATTTGTCTGTATGAGGGTGTCAAATCACTTGGAGTTGGATTACAGACAGCTGTGAGCTGCCACATAGGTGCTGGGAATTGAACCCAGGTCCTCTGGAAGAGCAGCCAGTGCTCTTAACTGCTGAGCCATCTCTCCAGCCCCTGGCTAAGGATTTTTGGTTTCTTTGATAATTTCTGACTTGTGCTTACCTGCTTTTCTGAGCTCAGCACTTGAAGCAGCTCTCCCCGTCCCAGTCCATGGCCTCTTCTCTCACCCTGAGCTCTTTCTGCATGACATTCGTGGTTAAACTGCCTCACTGCTTTTGCTATGTGGGATGAGCTGCAACTTGGTCCAGAGATTTGCACTCACATAAAGTTTTAGAATCTCAACACTCAAGAGGTGGAGATAGAAAGATTCTAAGTTTGAGACCATCCTGGGCTACATGGTGAGGCCAGCCTGGGCTATATAGTGGGATTCAAAAGAAAAGGCAGTGTTAAAAAATAATAATAAAGTCATTTAATTCACTCCTATTCACAAAGTTCAAGTTTCAGTTCTCTGCTTTATGCTTGAAAAGTGGTGGGAGAAGATAAGCAAGATACAAGCTGAGCAGTTCTTTCTTGTAATCTCTCACCCGTAGCAACATCCTCTCTGAGCAGTGATTCTCAGTTCCTTGTTATCTTTAAGAAGCTGCCCTTATTATGGAGACAGTGCTTGGGTTCTAATCCCTACTCTGCTTGTTCATAGCCATGTGATACTGGGCAGATTGCATTATCACCTTGTGCTTTGGTCCTTCTCATCAGCAAAATTGCTGTTTCCCTGGTAATTTCAAAAAGTATCATGAGACACATTAGTTAAACATTACTATCAAATTCTATAAAATATGAGATTGAATTCCAGGCATTTGCCTAAATGTCAATATCAGTGCTCGTTAACTTTAAATTATTTTTAGAATCATTTAATTCTGAATTTTCTCATTTGTATTCCGTATCTGTATGGCTTTGTTCTTCTGTCATTCATTTTAATTTAGCTCCATATATTGGTCTCCATAGAGTCACTACACACACTTTGGATACTTCAGTTTTTCATCATTGGAATTGTTTATGGCTACAAAGAATTTAGACGGACTCACCTCTTGTGAGCCATTTCGTTCAGCTGTAAATAGTCATGCCTTTTTCTTTATTTTATTTTTTTAAATTTTCTAAGCTGTGTTTTCTTTAAAACCATGATGCATAGTTTATGTGTGGGAGGTTCTTTTTCCTAATGATAGAAATCCCATGATAAGTCCACTTTCTCTTGTGTTTCATAGTTTATCAGCTGTCGCTGTTCTTTATTGTCTCCGGTGTATCCCATTTTGCCCTTTTATTTCCTTAGACTTCTGGAAGGTATTTGTCAGCAGAGCAGCTCAGGGTCATATTTTGACAGAATTTGACTCTTTTGGAGAGGTGTGAGAACTGCCTCGAATCTAGGGCCTTGTGCCTGCTGATGTATTCTTATTAGACTCTTAATATATAAAAACATGAGAGACTACGTAAGCTTTATTGTATTGGGAAATTATTTTGAATCTTTTATGCTAGAATTATGAGCATTTTATGTCTGTGCTATTTGGCTTACTTTTCCTGGTTTGTCCCATCTGGTTTTCTCAGTTTCTTATCGTGATTGAATTGTATAGTTGTGGACTACCAGTGTTTGATCATCACAAATTTAAAATATAATAAATTATAGCTGGATGCATAGTATCTTGGTCTCAACTGTTCTGGGAGGGGGAACAGAAGGAGCTCTAGAGCCCAGGAGTTTAAGACCGCTCTGGACAACATAGTGAGTGAAATCCTATCTCCACCCCCACCCCAGGGCTCAGGCGATAGTAGTGGTGAGGGCTGGGAATATTATTTTAAGTGGAAATCCCTGAAACTATACCTGTAGTAAAAATGACTGTAGTAACAAAAGTACAAATGAGCATCCATTAGGATGCGTTCATGAATTGTAAATATACCACCAGAGATTCACACTACAAAATAGAGGAATTCTTACATTTTAAACTGATGGCAAATGAATATAAAGCATTAAAACCCTTTTAAAATTTCCTCTAGGTTGACAGTATTTCAGAAGGCACCAGCTTTTCTCCGTGGACCCATTCATCAAAAGAAATATGCTTGGACTATTTTTAAAAGCTTTTTACTTCATCAAAGGGAAGTTGGCTCCCCAAGATGGAAATGAGTACATATGAGAGCGTGGTTTAAGGTGTGGCCATTTGAGGTGTCCCGCCAATCACTGAAGGAAGAGATTATCTGAAACACAGCTTTCAATCAGGAAGATTTTATCTTGACGCAAAGCGGCTGTATGCAGTTTATTTTCTGAAATGAAAAGGAAAAGACAAGAACGGATTTAAAATAACTGAAGATATTTCATGAATAATCAGGATCGGCTCTATTCTCATGATGATAACGGTGATGTGAAGTGAGTTACAGATCCGGGTGTGGTCCTCAAGACAAAACTCTGGATGGGACTGATGGTGCGAGCCATAGGACCTTTTGTGTGCTCCACCCACAGCGACAGAATCTGGCTGCGGCCGCGGCATGAGTGGCTCAGCCCAGGAACTCAGGCAGCTTCCATCTAAATCCAGAAGCACAGTCATTTCTTTACTACTATTATTTTGAAAACTTATCCAAAACCATTTAAAAAGTGTCGACAACTATTTTTATAGCTTAAAGAAAGGCAGATGTCTGCAAACAATTCCCCTCCATCAGCCCAGAAGTCTGTGTTACCTGCAACTGTTTCTGCTGTGCTTCCAACTTCTTCTCCGTGTTCAAGTCCCAAGACAGGACTCTCGGCTCGCCTCTCCAATGGCAGCTTCAGTGCCCCGTCACTCACAAACTCCAGAGGCTCAGTGCACACTGTGTCATTTCTACTTCAGATCGGCCTCACACGAGAGAGCGTCACCATCGAAGCCCAGGAACTGTCTCTGTCCGCTGTCAAAGACCTCGTGTGCTCCATTGTTTATCAGAAGGTACTGTGCAAGCTATTTATATCAATAGTTTATTCTAATTAATATTGCCTCTCTCACATCCCTATAATTTATGCGTGAAACAATGAATACATTTGGACTCATTGATAATTTATGTTCTGATTTTGGGCAATGCGCTAATAGACTGTGAGTCAAAAATCTGAAAAGTCTGTTACTGGGAACCTACATCCCAATCTAAAAATATCACTTACCCCAGAATAGTGTCATTTTATAGTCAAGGGGTTATATGACATTTCATTCGATTGCAGGGAAAAAGGTCAGGGGGTAGAGGGCACTAGACATTGAGGTACTTACTAGAAAGGTGGGACACAGAACTGAATCCAGTGTCCACCTGCACCTGGGCTTTCCAGGCGTCCTGTGTTTCACCCTCTTCTATACCCTTGCCTTGTCTTTGAATGCTAGTAATTTCTCATAGAGGAAATTCAAAATCTACCTAGACTACCATTTAATACAGAAAAGGCATACTTTCTCTTCCTCTTGAACAGGTAAATCAATTTTGAATATATATGACAGATTATTCAGGATGATTGTTTATCATATTAGTCCCCCTCGCCCTATCCTGTGCCATTTTTTAATGGAGCTTGGCTCAGTGGATTAGTGTTTTCTACTTATAAATTATTTATATTAGTTGATTTTGTTTTATTTTTAATGGACAAGCACTTCAAACAAACTTCTAGAGTCTCTGCGTGTAAAAGATTTTTCTCAAGCATGAGAACCTAATTTCAGATTCCCATACCCACTTTAAAAGCTGGGCTTAGCAGTGTGCACCTGTAATCCCAGCACGAGAGAGGTGGAGACAGAGCAGCCATGACAGTGAAATCAGTGAGCTCCAGGTTCAATGAGAGACCCTGTCTCAGTCTGTAAGGCGAAGAACAAATGACGAAGACATGCAAAGCCAAGCCCTGGCCTATGTAAACACACAGGCATACACATACACCAAGTGTGTGCACACAGAGACATACAGTCTCTCAATCAGATTGATAACTTTGGATTTCAGCTCGTCATCTTTTATTTGACTTTGTATGCTTTATATGGTTTGTCACTAGCTTCTAATTTACGAGTAGTTGGCAATCCAAAAAATGTTATAGTTAGTGATAATGACCTATGGGCTTGTGTTTTAACAGTGACTTCCTGGTGTAAATATGGCCTAAAGTAAGAGTGACTGTAGACCTGCAGAGTTGTCGATTTGTTTCCTTGGGTATTTACTTACTGTGAAGTTTTTAGCTTTGAAGGTGGGGTATTCCTGTTGCCCAGGCTGGTCTCTGGACTCTTGGGTTCTCCTGCCTCTGTCCTCCTTAGCTGAGACAACAGATGTAGACCACCTTGCTTTTTAATAGCTTAACTTATATTTCCCTTTTGTTATATACTACATAAATTTTTCACAAATACTTTTTCAGCTACTTTGTAACTTTTTAAAGTTAAAGGTAATGTTTAAACTTTTGAGAACATAAGAATTCATAACCACTGTTTTGGTGAAATCTGTTATTCCTTTTTCAGCATTTTAGAATTTTCACCATTTGTTTTTTAATTGATAAAAATATGTGTGTGCATATATCTTTATCATATACAGGGTATTAAAATATGGATACATTGTATAATGGTTAAGTGGGCTAGTTAACTTATTTCTGGTCACTTACACACTTGGATGAACTCATTTACTCCGCATTTATACAAAGGGATACTGATTTTATATAGAAGTGTGATAGAATCAGCTCTATTACTTATCTACGGGAAAACTTTGGACAAGTGCTTTTACTTGTTTGAATAAGTTTGAATTAGATCAGTCAAATCCCTGAGTTGGGGTGGTTTCCAGTCTCTGATTATAGCTGTGAGGTCTGGGTCTTCTCTGAAGGAGACGAGAAATGAGAACTGAGTCTTGAGTTTAGATTCTGGGGTTTCCTTCATGGATCCCTCTCTCGTGTTAGATTCTAAAAGGCTGTGTCTGTCTTGTCATAGAGGACCTGCTCTCTAGCCACCCATCTGGTTCCCTGGGCCTGTACAGTGTCAGGTTCTGAAATAATCAGTTGGGTGACACTTGAGTGATTATTTCGGACCTCTAAAAAAACATGTATTTCCATCTAGTTGTTATAGTTTGGTGTTCCTGTGGGACTCCAAACAATGGAATCAGGGTTGTCTTTGACTCTCTTCCCTGTGCTTGGGACCCTTTTCCTCCTGCTGGGTTGCCATGTCCAGCAGTGATATGAAGGTTTGTTGGGGGGTGGGGGGGAGTTGATCAGAGGGAGATGGGGAGATGGGAGAGGAACTGAGAAAAATGGAGGGAGGGGAAGCTGCAATCGGTTTGTAATATATAAGAGAAGAATAAAGGTTTTGAAAAAAGGAAAGATGATATTTAATACTCATAATTTGGGTACCAGATTATCTTTCAAGTTAGTAGAGGTGGCAATCCCTCTGTAAATAAATGCTTTAGATTTTTTAAATAATGCGACGCTTACATTAATAGTATTTATAGCTGCCATTGTTGGTTTGTCAGATGCTATTCTAGTGTCTTTATACATACTCTTGTTAGTTTTTCACAACTTCACTGTGTATGGTGTCACCACAGTTATCAAAAAGGAAATGGAAGCACAGAACCCTTAATAAATTACTTCCCTGGGATACTAAGAATTCAGAGCTTGCATTTTTAGCTGTTGTGCTGTAGACAGCCGCTTTGATTTTTTTTTTCCATTATCAATCATTGTTCATTTGTGAAATGCCTTCCAGTTAAAGAGACTGTACAGCCAGTAACCATAGACTCCAGTTCCCTGGAAGCTAACTGCCCTTGTGTGCACAGATGCCTGTGTAACAAACTGAAATATATGGTTCCATTTGTTCTCCATACTAGCTGACATTTGAAACTCTAGAAAGGCGACTGGCACTGGGTCTTTTCACCTAAAACTGTTTGGGTGGTTTGGTCTGATGGGCATCCTTGCTCTTCTAGTTTCTGCTCTTAATAAACATACTTATGTAGAACTGTCTGAAAATAGACCACTAGTTAAATTTTAGGAATTAGTTGGACCAGACATTGTCCCTGTCCTTAAAGCATGTAGTATCGTGAGGGAGACACATTGACCAGTACGACACATGAGAAGTAGCATGGGATGCTGAAGTAAAAAGTGTCTTTGTAGGCTGATGAACAATGCAGAAAGCCTGAAGCCAGACAGAAAATAGAAATCAAGTAACAAAGAGTGATGAGTTGAAAAAGGTATTCCAGACAGAAGGATTGGGATAAGGAAGAATAGAGGACAGGAAGATGGTAAGTGTTAGCTAGGTAGATGCCTTAGCAGTTGTGAGAGTATATTATTCTTCCAAAGAACCCAAGTTTGGTTCCCAGCACCCACATCAGGTAGAGCACAACCACCTTTAACTCCAGCTCTGAGGAATCTGATGCCCCTGGCTTCCATGGGCACCCACACACACATGGCGTACACCACACAGACACATGATTAAAAACAAAAGAAATACAAGTGCAAGCATTTAGTAAGCGCCTGCTTGGTGCCAAGAGGTTTATATGCATTTAATCCACACAGTAGTCTGTGGTACATGAGGTTCATCTGGGAATTGTACTAAGGAGTGTTATTTTGATCGGTATGTTTGTGTGGCTGTGCATTTCTGTTGTGGTCATATTGGTGGTCCTTTGCTGTAAGCCCTGTCTTGTGTTTTTCTCTTGCTGTGCTAAGACACCAGAACCAAAACAGCTTATAAAATAAAGGCACTTGGGGCTGGAGAGATGGCTCAGTGGTTAAGAGCATTGCCTGCTCTTCCAAAGGTCCTGAGTTCAATTCCCAGCAACCACATGGTGGCTCACAACCATCTGTAAAGAGGTCTGGCGCCCTCTCCTGGCCTTCAGGCATACAGACAGATTATTGTATACATAATAAATAAATAAATATTTAAAAAAATAAAATAAAATAAAGGCACTTAATTTGTGGCTCATGGTTCCAGGGGGTTAGATTCTATGACAATAATGGTGGGGACCATAGGAACAGGCAAGCAGGCATGGCAACTAAACAAGGTTATAAAACCATGAGAAGGTCTCTTAGTTTGGAGGACCTGAGAAGAATTATCTTAACAGTGAAGTAAACCCACAAGGTCACCACCCTATTTAAAATCAGGAAAGAGCTTTCCAAATTATTTCTTTTGAAAAAAATATATTTAATATAGTAGTTATAAACTTTAGATCCCACCTCAGTTCTGCATTTTTACTTTTCAGTGTTACCAATATACTAGGAACCTTGGAATAAAAGATTAAAATTTCATCTCAGAAGATGTAATTTGTAAATTTGTGAGATTTTACACAATAGTGAGATTATTTGAAGTGCAAAATGTGAGATTATTTGAAGTGCCAAAGCTATCAAAAAAAGGATTTCTTTGGTGGGAAGTTGTATTGATAACAGCATACAATAATATAGGCTGCTGTCATGTATGTACATGCATGCATATATGCATGTGTTACACATTAAACGACAAGTGAATATTTTTAAAGGACAATGATTTTAATATTACCTTCTGACAACTTTAGACAGAAATGTGGAATGCAGTATATATATTTTTCTATCTTGAGCTATTTTACAAGGTGCTGTTTTTTAAAGATTTGTTTATTTGTTTATTCTCTGTGTATGCTTGATTGTATGGGTGTGCACCATGTCCATGCAGTGTGCGTGGAAGCCAGAAGAGAACATAGATCCCCAGAACTGGAATTGTCTGTGGATTTGAGCTGCCTGCGGGAGCTAGGAACTGAACCTAGATTCTGTTGGAAGAGCAACAAGTGCTTTTAACCACAGAACCATGTTCTTAGCCCCTAAATATTTTTTTAAAGACAGATTTGAGGTACTATAACCTGTAATAAACTCCATCACTTCTAAGTTCATGAGTTTGCTAAGTTTCAACAGTTGCATACAATTATATAACTCCTCCCATTCAAGATATAAATCATTTTTGTCACCCTAGATATTTCTTTGCACTTCTGCAGTGTCTTCCCCCAC